GGGAAGCACCTTCAGGTGATGCAGGTCTCTCATAGGTGCCCTCAGCTTTCCTTCCTATCCGTCATCTCCTGCAGTGGAGATGACAGTACGCATCTACAGTCTGAATGTCTTCAGTTGTTTGAAGGGTCTCATGGGTTTACAAGCAAACAAGTGCTCATGAGAGCAGCTCCTGAACTGCTCTGCTTTATGAATCTCCTGCCTGAAAAGGTAATCCCATCTCTGACTCCAGCCTACTAGGATTTGTCCTCTGTGGTCCAGGCAGATGAGAACATCTGGCCTTAGTTGCTGCTCAGTGAGAAGTTCATTAAACTTCATGAACAGGAAAGGATCAGGGGTTTGAAAATCAGACTCCCTTGTTTTGTTGGCAGTGTGCAGTCAAGACAGATTCCTCTACAAGGAAAGCCACATGGGTGAACTCATATTAGATCCTCTGCAATCAAACAAGACCAGTAGCTGAGGACCTGACTTTGGATATGGCTTAACCCTGCCTTTGAACTTGTGCAGGTGCAACATGATTCTCACTCCTAGCTAAATGAAACACAGAATTATTTTCAATCTGCTAAGAAATGGCCTTAGATTTTTCAGTGGGTTTTCAGCCTATATTGAGCACAGTGCATGACCCCCGTGAGAGTGCAGGGCAGCGAACGCATTGCTGAATCAATTCACAGGAGTGCAGGAGGATTGCAGGGGCTGGACACTGTTTGACTGAATGACAGGTGGAAGGTTAAATACATAAAGATTTAGATCCCTCCATTTTTGCCAAATCAAGGTAAATACAATAATGGAAGGGAAATGAGGGAGCAGTCACATGCTTTTGCTCCAAAAGTATTTTAACTTCAGCAACAGAGTTTGCAGACAGATGTTTTCGAAGAAGGTTTGATCAGAAGGTGTCATCTGAAATTACACTGTCTGTTTTTGTACTGTGATGAGCAAAACAAGAGGAGGTGATGGACCTGAGGCGTTCAGACTGCAGCCCACCATGGCAGTATATGTGGCTTCTAGTCTCCACCAGCAGCCCCTGCCCAGGGCTCCATGGGAAGGAGGGGTCTTTCCAGCAGCCTGCTTTCTCCCCATGGCTGGGGAGCTAGGAATTAGCTTCACGGCTTCATGTCTCTATGCTCTTCACTTGCTGTGAGTGCAGAATTGGTGCAGCACTTTGTGCAATGCCAGTTTTGCTGCCTGGGTGCTGCAACTTTGCTGAGGATGGGGCTGAAGCATCCTGTGCTCTCCTCTCATCTGGTGAAGGTTGCCTGGTTATAAAGGTTGGCCACCACTGGCCTGGAGCATGGAGTACCAGATTGACACCAAGAAGGACTTTCAGGACACCTGGCTGGGTTTGACAAGTCATGGACGATGCTCTTTTAGTCATACGATATAGTTTTAGGTAGTCCTGCAAGGAGCAGGGAGCTGGAATCAATGATCCTTATAGGTCCCTTCCAACTTGAAATATTCTATGATTCTATGTGTTAGTTATTTGGTCTGCATTGGTAAGTACCCTAACTTTAATCCATCTGTGAGATACTAAACCCAAGCTAGCCTAGGCTTCAATAGGCATCGCCAGAGATGGTTCCGCTCTTCAGCATCTCCTGGGATGCCAGACTGTCTCCATCATCTACAGACATCCTAGGAAAACTCCTCCAGCTTAAGCACCTCAGGGAGGCACCTGACATTAGGTTGGATGAATCTGATCCTTTGTGCCTTATAATGGCATAACCAGAGTCACTAGCTTTGGAAAGGCATCAAAAGTGAGAAAGCGTATGATAGCATGCTGCATTTTCATTAGGGTAAATGCTTAACATCATTATGCTAAAGGAGTTGGGATTTCTTTGAGTGCATCTGTCATTTGACTCCTAGCCTCAAACGCCAAAAAAAGTGACCTGCTTCCAGAGACTGGCTGCTTGGTGTCACTGGAAAGCAGATTTCTTTTTAAGGGGATCCATACGGACACACAAGTCTGCCATTGCTTTTGAAAACTGAATTAGTCTTTAGTTTGCTTTTACTTAAACTGAAAGCATTGCTTTAGCAACCAGGAGGACTGGATATTATTAGTAACCTTTTACAGGAAATGTGGTGTGTCATGGGTTGAGCATACATTTTTTCTGGAAAATGCAGTGTACAGTGAAATGGGGGGAATAAGTAAACATAAAGTGCTTATACAGCAGTTCACTCTATTTGAATGCCCAGCAACACACCTCTGAGGTTACCTGCTCATAAAGGAAGGAGGGAACGATATTTGAGATTTATTTTTGGCTAAAAGCATGAAGTGCAAATAGCTCTTTTTGCAAAATGTCAGCTGCATTTCTGGGAAGCAAACAACATTGCCTTAATAATACATGGTAAATAACAACACTAAGAACGTTGCCACCTATTATATACACCTGCAGGTGTATGTGGATAAACTTATGTAACTGTAGTTTGACAGATGAGATAAATACGGAAAAGTAAAACAAGGCATTACAAACAAGTTATTCTGTGAACAGCAGAATTAATGATATATAGGATGCAATTCAGCTTCAGATAACAAAATTTGGGTGCCTACATGGAGGTATTCATGTATGGAGAAGACGTCTGAGCTACCACTGCAGTCAACCTAGGGCTTGACTCAGTTTTGCCTAATGCCACTGAGGATACTGTAAGGTATCCATCCTGGCCTCCAACTAGACACAGATCTCCCATAATAGTGTGTCGTGTTGGCCAGTTGCCTCAGGATGACTTGGACATGCTAGGGTCCATTGGCACCAGATGACTATGTATTGGCAGCTCCATGCAGCCCTAACGTGGTCACCTGTGTTCGATCAGGCTCTGTTGTCTACATGATGAACCTCTTTTGATTTAAATGGGGCTTAGACACCCCATTAGGGGCTTATTTTCAGGATGCTTGTAGCAATGTGGTTATCTCTGAGACCTCATCCGTCTATCAAATTTGGTTGAAAATGGCTGAAGTGGTCCTGCCAGTGACTCCTTTGCTGGTGGACTCCCACCTGCTTGGCAGTATATCCAGTACTCTGGTTTTTAACTGCCTATCAGACAACATCACTTGCAATACCTCTGAGTGGGATATGTAATGAAAGATTGATTCATACCAGACCGCCACAATGGTTAAGGAGAGACCCACACAGGCTGCCAGTGACGCTCCAGTATGATGGACCAGCTAAGAAACAATTAGCTTTAATCTCACTTTACTTTAGAGCAGGGTAGTGCTCAGTGCTGCAATAGTTTATTCAGCAGTTCATAATGGACATGGGCATCTGCTGTGCTACCGACTGCTTTCATTTATAATCACAGTGATTGCAAAGAGTACTTTACAAAACAGTACTGACAGGACACTTCAAATGCAGTATCACCAGAGTGATTAAGACTAGGCTAGTTTTCAAAATTCCAGCTCATATATTCTGAATATTTGAAAGAAGGGGGAACGGGGTGGGGGGATGATAGCAAAAGCTTGTGGCTCTTTAGTAAGACCCAATACTGTTTATACTGTTTATTTTGGTCTAGTAGACTTTTTCAATTTAAAATACTATCAGAAAGACAGAAGCCAGGGGACTTACAAGTATTTCTGGTGGCATTAAAAGATCACAGAGAAAATATCTTCACAAAGTCCGTTTTATTGCTAAAACGGCAGAAGTGCTGCAGCATTGATCTCTCCCTTGCAGTGGCAGAGAGCTGGCACTCACCCACCTTGTAGAGGCAGTAGGTGAGTTGATACCAGGCACTTTGGTCCTGGTTTATTTTGGGTGAATATATTTTAGCTGATATTAGTTTGAGTCACCTTTGCCCTGTTCCCGTCATCTCAGGCATCTACCTCCAGCGTGAGCTTCTTGCCCTTGTCAATCTGGCACAAAAGCTGTAATTCATTCCTTCGTGGACCACAAGCAGGTGTAATGTCCCATACACAGCAGCTGGTGATCAGCCTGCAAGATGTAGTACTGGGAATACCCTTCTAGAAGAAACTGTTTTTATTTATTGGATATAATTGCATAATTGGAAAAAAAAAAAAAAAAAAACCTAGAAGGTAAAAAGAGGTTTAACTCATCAAATATGTCACCCAAATGTGTAGTTGTGTCTAGCCTTGCAGTGCACTACCAGCAAAGGTAGACAGTTCTGCAGTTGCAGGAACAAGAGGAAGCCAACTTACGGTCTCCAGTTCAGTTTGGATCTTCCCAGACGTCTGTGAAAATCTTCAAATAGTTTTTCCTGACTAGTAGCAGCATTTCCAGTCCCAAGCCTGCTTTGGGGGTGAGCCCTGCTCAGATTTAGGCACATTAATTCTGAGTGTGATGACTTGTTTTCACCAGAAGGGAAAAGGTTTTGAAACTATACAACCTCTTAGGTGTTTATTCACAGTCACAACAGATTTTCTTCATGGCCCAGAGGATATTTAAATCAAGACTATCTGTGAAAATACATGTGAATGTTTAGAAATGTTTCTGAATATACCATTTGGTTTAAGTGCCATGCATATGTATATCATTATAGACTATGAAATATAAATAACTATTCACACTGGATAAAAATCAAAAAGGTCCTGAAAACATTCTTCCTATAGTCTTTTTCTACATGTAAGCAGTACCTTTCTGGATGTCTATAAGTGTTGCAATTAGTGATTTTCTCCAAGATGGAATACTGGAAATTACAGGAAATTCATTATACCACCACTTATGAAAATATTTACACTATGTAGCTTCCAATGAAAATTTTAACCCATATGCTGTTTCTGAGCTTTGCCTTTTCTTTTTTGTGTCTTGGAGTATTGAAGGGGGAAATGGAATGTCAGAGTGTGTTATTGTCCATGCTAAACTTCTGCACCTGAAATTAAAGCGTTTGGAAATGTCTGCACTCCTTCTCCTACTGAAATCACCTATAATTGGAGGTAGTTCCATGAACACTGGTGGTGTTAGGGTGGCACAGATTAGACGAGATTCAGACCCTCCTACTTCCAAGACCAAACATTTGTCCACCACAATTAATCATTGATTTCCTTTTAACGTTATTGGTTTCAGGTGCTCAACCTGTTCCTTGCCTTGCTGCTAAGCTCTTTCAGTGCTGACAACCTCTCGGCACCAGACGAGGATGGGGAGATGAACAACCTGCAGCTTGCTTTTGCTCGGATCAACAGGGGTCTTCGGTACGTGAAACACACAACGTGGGATTTTTGCTGCAATGTCCTCCGGCACCCCAAGACAACAGCTGAAAAGAAGGCAATGATGAAGCTTGCTGCCCAGAATACAGGTGCCCTTAACAATTGTGTGAACAGTCATACAACCACTGAGCTTGGCAAAGACATGGAGAATTACAAAGAGAACCACGCTGAGGATGGGATGAATAAAAATGGGGAGAAACACCTAGGGATTACAGACAATGATGATTTTATGACCAATCCTGACCTGTCCATTTGTGTTCCTATTGCTGTGGGAGAGTCGGATATCGAGGAGGAAGATGAGGAGCAGAGCACCTTTACAGAAATGGAGCAGGTAGGCAACTAAAATATTTGCTTGTTGTAGCTTATTAAGAGGGCCTTCTTTCCCACCCTTGCTCTGGATCCATGGCTCGTGATGCAAATGTCCTATGGCCTAATCCTGCCTTTGATATGTTGTTAACTTCAGAAGAAGTTACAGCTGCATATCCAAGAGCAAAATTCAGTCTCCAACAAGAGGCATTCCCTTTCTTTGTATTCTTTGTGCTTGTCTAGATTAATTCTTCTAACCAGAGCAATTAAACCCTTTCTCACACAGCAGACTGTTTTTTTTTTTTCCTTTCAGCTGAATCATGGGAATGTTACAGAACAAATCTTAGGTCCTCTGACTACAACAGGGGATTTTCTCAGTGTGCAAAAATGGGCAACGGCCTGGTTTGATTTGTGCAGCAAGAATCGAGGGCCAGGTAGTTCTCTTAAAAATACAACGAGGCAGAGGCTGATATGACAAGGCACCAGAGAAAGAAAGATATGTAGTTGTATGTATTCAGACAGGAAAAATAGTGATTTGCCTGTTCTTTGGTGTGACATGGCAGATTTTTGTATTCCCCAGAGCACATAGTAGTAAAGGCTGAATAATTCTGTGTGGTTCGAAGTGTTGGTGTAAAATGGAGAAGAAAAATCTTCACGGGAACACTTTTCTTTCTCTCCTTCTTCCCCTCTCCCCTTTCTACCAGCTTTATCTCTGGGCTCCACATACCATGTCTAGTTAATGTTTTCCAGACCCTCCAGCCTTGATCCAGCATCCTCTGACGCCAGCTGAGACCCGCGGAGTAAAAATCCTCTTTCAGATCCAGCTGTCGGGAGGGATCCCCAGTCTCTCGGTTGAGGGGAAGAAAATTGTGAAGCAAAGCTGTCCTTATAGAAGGGCTGTCCTAAAAAAGCCCCGAGGAAGGACTCTGTGTCAGGAGGTGGGCACAAATTGGCTGCTAAATGTTAATTTCTCCTGTTTCATTGAGGAAATCTTTACAGTGTGAATGCATCCGCTCAGCAGCAAGTCTTACACATTGACCATCCCCTTGGGGAGCTGAAGGGCAAGGGGTCAGAAAACTTTATCATCAAGCCCTACCGTCCAAATAGACGCCTAGGTAACAGAAAAGAACTCTGAAATTTTTGGTAAACACTTTTAGGGATGTTTTTGTATCTTCTTTAAGGAATGCTTGTATTGAAATGACCTGTGGATCAGTGTGGGTAGCATGGATAATATCTATTTTTTTCTTTGAAGTACTTTTCTGTTCCCAGCATTGTATTAGTTAAACCTACAAGCAGAGTACACTTGAAAAGTGAAATAGGAATATAGTAACTGGGTTTCTTAGTATTAGCTGATCTGCAAATACTGACTAGTATAAATGTCTTTAATAGTGTATAAATGTGTTTAATTCTGGAGTTTTGGTTTAGTTTTGTGGTTTTTTTGTTTTTTCTTTTTGACCTTTAAAGATATCCACACCTTTCTGCTGCAGCTGACAGAGGGTCACAATCTTAACAACTCCCAGATTTTTCCTTCACAGTGCAAAGCAAAACTTTGTTGAAACTTTGCACGTAAGTGTCCATGAGGTCTGGAAGTGTGCGCGCCTGTGTGTGTGTGCGTGCACACGTGTGTATGGTGCATCACTGCATTCCACCTTCCTCAAGATAAATAGCAATGTTCACAACTGCAAACTAAACTGCAGCAAAGAGCATGGAGAGTTTGGGATTTTTACATCTTACTGTACCTTAAAATGTGGATTTCTGTTTAGCTGCACAATGTTTCCATGTAGGTGCTGGTGTGTATATTAGTAGACGGAACAGGTAGCTATCCATTTTATGCTGTACAGCAGGTAAATGTGGAATTAGACCTTTAGTGAGATCTATTAGAGTCATGAGGGAGAGAACTGATGTAGAAAAATAGGCATTTTAGTGAAACAGAACATTATGAATAAAAGTTGATCTGAAAATATTAAGAAAACTTCTTCAGATTGTTTCAATAATATTGAAACATTATTATATGTAATATAAACATCAAGGATTCAGGGTGAAAAAAAATAGGAGGAAACAAAACCCAGTAGGAGAAGCAAATCAAAATACTGTTTTCACACTGTATCTTTTAATGACATTTTCAATAAACATTAGAGTAACATTGTCACATTACCGCAACATGTTTGGATTGCAGTGAAATAATACAGTTCTCTGCTACCGTGTGCATTAAATAGAAGGCATGGAGTTGAGAAATGTATTAATTAGCTTTGTCACTAGTGTTTTCCAGGCTTTGACAAACAGCTGCTGCAGGTCACTGCCATTCCCCTGTGCATAACCCTGATCAATGGTTTTCAACCTCTGTCCACAGGCCTGAGGGGTCTACTGCTGAAAAGGTCCAAACAAGAAACGAGTTCATATATCCAGCCAACAATTTTATCAAATTTCTAGAGAGGAAAATGCGTGCATGCGAGGGGGTTCCAACTCAAAGACTCAAAATACATTGGCATAATAAATAAACAGAAATAGGAAGAAGCTCAAGAGCAGAAATTATAATTGTGTAATGACCTTTGCAATTGTTTTCCTGCAAAACCCTAGTAAATTTACGCAGCTATAAATATCTCCATAAGGAGCAGAGCCATGAGAAAGCAGATCCCAAAGAATTCAAAGATCTGTCATTTTTAATGGTGCCCATTCCAAAGACGTATTATCTCTGGACCCACAAAAAACTCTCTTGATCAGCACGTAGGTTACTGCAGAAGATATTCAGTATGAAATCCCAGTTCCCTGGATATAGAGTTGTGAGCATTATAGCTTGCTAACCTTTCTATCAAGGGCAGCCCTGTGGGACTCTGGGGAATAAACTTCCCCACTCACTCCCAGAAGCTTTAATCCCACGAGCCCCAACTCCATGGGGGTCCTTACCTCCTTCCCTCCATGATGGCCACGATAACCATGGCAGAGCTTGCAAAGGAAGAACAACATGAACAAGAGCAAAATTTACATGATTGCACTGAAAGGGCACAATTATGGTGAAGTATCTTTTTGTGTGGAGGGCATCATACAGAAACGAAAAAAGAACTACCAAGGATATGCTAAACATTCAAATCTATTCTAACTTTCTCCTAATTATAATCCATATTTTACATATTTACATATTTTAGCATGTACAAAGAGAATGTGTATGTATATTTACTTTTCAGGAGAAGACAATCTACCCTGCTTCACTTTAAAGTTGTTGGCTGACCTGGAATTTAGCAGCCCTTTGGCAACATTGCCAGAACCTGCCTTCCTCCTCACGCGTGTAGATTTTGGTGTGCTAGCATGGGAGAAGAGGCAAAAAGAGATGCGTAAACAGGGAGTATATGTATCCATGCCTCTCAAGCGCATGGCTAGGTAAATCTACACAATCCTTACACATCCTTTACGCTTTCTCTGTCAGTTGAAGATCCTGGACCATATTCTGTTCATCGTGTGCTCATATCAGTCCAGACCCATCCGTCATGATGGGCTAAAGGGAGGCTGGTCTCAAGCAGAACCACAAAGTTGTTGATACCAATGGGGTATTTTAGGTTGATGACTAGCTCAGCTTACAGCTCCCATACCAATACCGGAAAGTCACAAAACTACTCTAAAGTAAGCCATTGTGGCTATGAGAAATGGGCCCCACAGTGTTACACACAGCAGTTTGAAATTTCAGATGATGAGAAACCCTTCTGTGACTGCACATTTTCCTCTGAGTAATAGAAATGTCTAAGTTTAAATTTCAGCTACCATTTTTATTATCAAAGCTTACACTGGCAGCAGCCGTCTTCCTGAAAGCTACCAATTTGTGGCACTGTCATTGAGAGGGTTTCGAAGGAGTGAGACCACCTGATAGCTTCTAAATCTCCTTTGATTACTGAGATGCAAGTGAGAGACTCTGCCAGCTCAAAGAGCCAGGAGACACATGCCTGTAGCTGACACATACGGTGAAAGGATCAGAAAGAAAAGCTGAACAATAAAAGTCAGCACAGGTGCAAAAAGCTGGCAGTAGAAGAATGAGGGTGAGAAAAGTCCACCTTGAATTTGAATTAATTCATCTTTATTGTGTGATATGTGTGTTGATGCCAGTGACTGCAACATTTTTGCTAAGGGCTTTACCTAACCCCCTTCCTCGCTCTGCTCATAGTGCTGGGGAAGTCTCTCCTTGTCAGTCCACAAGATTTCTTCAGGATTTGCTGAGAAGTTTAACCTTATAATGAGAACAAGGATAATCACAACAAAAATATCATCCATCCGGTCATACTTCGGACACAGTGTCCAAATAACCTTCTACTATATTAAAACTGTCTTCCATTTTTCCTCTGTCTTTGAGATGTATAATTTAAATATGGCTTGTCCTAGCAGGAAAACAGCTCCCAAAAGCTCAGAAGCAACAACAGCAACATGTTGGTTGCATCTTCTCAAGGTTCTTTTGAATTCTTATTTTGGCTTCCTAAATGATTAAAATGTGGAAATTATTTTCTTGAACCTTCATAGAGTGTCTTATAATTGCTTATAAAGACCATCTTTTCATATGCAACATCAACTTTCAGTCTCCTGAAGGAGTAAGAACCAGATTATGGGGACAGTAAGGTGATGGAACAATTCAGTGTGCACAGTCCTGTCCACCTGACACAGAGGATCCTATCAGAACTTACCTGCTATTTAACTACACTGAAAGTTTTGGACGTCAGAGGGGTCCGTACCATTTACATTAGACATATAAGTCCAAAGCTTAAATCTTCAAAATTCCTGCCATAGTATTTCTTAACCTTCAAGGTGCCCACAGCTGTAGCCCAAAAAGGTGTGTGCCTTTTTCAGTGGCATCACTTTGTGGTTCAGAGGAATCCCACGATAGACTAGAAGGAGGTTCCAGATGAGTAATGCTGGGTGTCCTCAATCAGTCTCCAAAGTACGGTGTCCTGCGCTTGCACCATTGAACCCTGTCTTGTTTCTATCACCCCAGGCCTCAACGACGCCCAGGTCTTTCTGCATTGTATCTGGATCCTTTTCTGCATTAATAAGTTCATGCAGTCAGCAGACTGTACATTAGTCCATCCTTAGAAAATGGGTTTACCCTTTCCTTGTTTTTTGAGTCAGCCCAGCAAGGCTGTTATTGCTTTCTTCCCCTTCTTAAATTTAATTACTTCATGTCCTGCCTTACTCAAACTCCTGCCCTCAACTTGATCTGGCTATAGCATGCCACTGAGAAGAAAATCCACGCTGTGGGGGCTAGTGGCTCTTGGCCACATCTCACATTCACCCCCTCTGCAGTGACAGAGCCAGGCACGGATGCTGCTTTCCTCAGAGATAAGACCTTTGTATTTTCACATGCAACACAGTGCCGAGCCAGCAGCACTTGCTTGCTTGTCTTCAGAAAATGCCATTATTGATTTGTTCCAAGGGAGTGGCTAATTGGGTCATATGGAAAGTGCTGGCTGCCTGCTGCTGGGACAGAGCGCTTTGCAGCTTCTTACCCCTTCCTTGACACCAGGCACGCACGCCGCGGGAGTGCTGCCTTTCCGTGCATGGCAGCCAGGTCCCAGCTCCCACCATGTGCCGTCCTGAGACTGCAAAGCAGGTGGAGAGCTGGCCCATCCTCTTGCCCGAGGCTTACCCCTGGCTGTGGAAATCCTTAAATAGCAGAGAGTTGTTGCTGTGCCTGCTAGGGCTCACCTTCCCGTGACCTGGCAGGGAATATTCCCTGTGGGAAGGGGACAGTGTCTTTTGTTGCCTCTCAGGGTATCCCAGTTTCCCACCTGCACAGCTGCACTTCTCTCTACTCTTCCTAGACCCCTCCAAGGTGGAGCAGCACCTCTGCTGTGATTTTCAAGAAGTTTGGGTCTGGGTCTGCACAGAGGACCCGAGGGGTGTACATTGCCTGGATTTTGCACACAGGGCGAGTATTTGTTGCTCCAGAGCATGACTTGCTTTCTCAGTCATGTTCACATTTTTTTCTCAATGGCAGTTCTCCCCTCGTGTATACCCTTTTCTGGGCTCCGCCAAACACATCTGCCAGGAAAACCAGTTTTCCAGACTTTAGATGAGTAACTGCCTTTGTACATGTCAATGACAGAGCCGGCTGCCACCAGTCTCTCTTCAACAGTACAGTTTCTCTATTGCTCTGAACTGGATCAAACCCCCAAGCTTTTATTCTCTTCTCCATATTTACTTCAGAATTACTGACTCATTTTATTTCATTTGACAAGGTGAAACTATTTCTGATAGCTTTTTTTTGCATGTTTCTACCAGTAAGAGATTAGTAATTTTGAGATCAGAGAGGACCATTAGGATCATCATGGTTTAGCTTTCTCATAACACTGAGTCAAAGACTTCAACCAATAATTTCTGCACAGAGCCTGTAAGTTTATTTTAGCTATGATACATCATTTGTAAGACAGAGAAAAGAACGAAATGTCTCAGGTAACAGAGAGTTCATCATCTGCATCTGGACCCACATCTGTTTCCTTTGTATACAGTGGAAATTTCACTGTACAATTTCTGTCCATTACAGACCTGCTCCTACACCCAAAGTGATTCTGTAAAAGTCAATAGAATTATTCCAGGTTGACATAAGTGTAGCTGAAGTTATTGAAAATTGCCATAAAAATGCCAGTGCATAGATTTTGATATAAAATTGTTTGTGACAGTGTCTTATGCTCCTAATAATTCCAACATCTATAAATCAGAGATACCATGAAGTCATGTGTTTATTTGACAGGGTACATTAATTTCAGCCTTTTACTGCAGGAAATATACTTTATTGTCAGGAACCATAATGCCCTTTCAAACAGTATTTATACTCCATCTGTTTTCAGTTCCAGTCTGTGGGACACGTTCTCTTTTAGTGCAACTGGATGAAATACCTTTGAAGCCAGTTGATGATTCCCCAGCTCTTACTGGCAGGAGAGTGAGCCCACATGCATACATGCATGCAGGACACAATAAATCTTACAGCATTCTTTTTGTCATCTTTATTTGGGCAAATATTTTTCTGATCATTAAATAAGATAGCAGGGCTTTTTCATTATTATTATTATTATTATTATTATTACTCCCTTTTTATGTTTTGCTTTGCATTTCTTGAAAACGGCATAGATTTGCCAATTGTTTTTAGCAATAAAATAGAATATTTCTGTATTTATTGTCTTCAGAATAGCAGCAAGGCCATTAGAAAAAGAAAAAGGACTGTAAATCACAGCAGCAGTTTTAAAGCACCTAAGTCTGCATCTTTGCTCTTACATATAGAAAGATATTTGTGTTTATTTTGTTTCAGTACGATGGGGCAGAAGACGACTCCGTGTCAGATCTCTGCTGACGTGATTAGAGCAGTCACACTGCAAACAAAGGTTTTAGGGTGCTTATTCTGTGT